ATGATGAAGGTCAATAAAACAAATTAAGTAACACATACAAGGATTTGGTATAGATCTTCTTCAGTTGTCTTCTGGGAAAGACCTTTCACAACTACGGTTGCAGATGGGGCCTATGAAAACAGCTTTTACTTAAAATTGTCCAAAGGCAGTAAGATAACGCTGAAAACATAAAAGCACTATCAGCACATACCACAGAATAATGCTCCCGCTGCCGTTTATCATCACGATCCCTCCGTCTTTCACTTTTATCATATCGAGTCTCAGTATAGCTATCTTCCCTGTAATTTCGACCATGGCTTCGACCACGAGGGGACCTAGATCTTGGATGGTCATCATATCCACGAGATTGAGATCGGGAATGAGAATGCGAGTGAGAATGTGACCGGGATCGAGATCGTGACTGCGAACGAGAGTGAGAACGTGATCGCTCGTGCCTCCTTCTTGGACTCAGATCTCCTTCCCGACTATGACCTCTCTTATCTCGTTCCCGATCACGTGACTCACGTCGCCTCCAATTACTGTCTCTTCTACTACTTCTTTCATAATCAGAATCATAACTATGCCGACCATGATCATAATCCCGGTCATGGCTATCCTCCCTACGATGATGAGAGGAAGCCCGGGATTTGTAGTCATAATCTTCATAGGCATAATCATCACGTTCATGTCCTACAAACCTGGCAGGCTTATCATATCCTCGGTCAGTATAGTTTTCAATGCCAGTATAGCCATCCCGAAACCTTTCGTATTCTGGGTAGGTATCAATCTCACGATCCCTAAAACCATCTATCTGATTATATGATTCATGATAAGGCCTCTGAAACCGCCTAGATTCCCTGTCAATTGGATAATCTTCGTCATAGCCTCTCCGTTTGGATTGACTCCAGTGGCCAACAGGAGGTGGTCCTGGTGGCAGATAAGCGTCCCTGTCCAAAATGTCAGGGTGGAAATTATTTCTCTGGTAAATTGGATCCCTTTGATATCTTTCATCTATAAATCTTCTCTCATCGTAGGAACCACCAACCCTGCCAAAAATATGGGGTAAAATGGGAGAAAAGAAAAGCTAAAATTCGATACTAAACAGTATAACTAGATTATCATTATGCATAACAATACGCAAAAACATATCCCAATTGTATAATCACGAGGTACATACCACACCACCAACAAGTTGGAAAAAAAATCCTCAAAGACAAACTTTTCCCCACAGGTTTCATATTACCGTAGTGATGATGATAAGCATCAAGCAGTTGCACTCACCGGAAGTTCGGCTCGTGGACAGCGCCGTATCCCTCAAGAGCCTGTGGATTCAAGAGAATAAGCTATGTCAGGAACAAATAATCAATGGTGGGACGAGGGTTAGGCAAATGGAGTCCATATCTGACTGCCCCCACAGCTAGCTTTCTTTCACAATTCTCCGATAAAAAATCAGATTGAAACCCTAATAGTAGTTTCTTTGAATAATGATCCCATATTCCATATAGGTGAATTATTTAAGGAGGAAACCACAATTACGCTGTTATTATCCCAGCCTTGATGCAGAGAATAGCGACCAGGATCCATTTCTTGCCAAGCCCACCGTTCCTCTCTCTAGCAATATTGTCTCAAAGTCAAAACCTTTCTCTCTCCCTGTAATATATGCACAAACAGATTCAGTTATCCACCATGAACCAACAACCCTTTACCACCTTCTGGGCCCTCTCCTCCAATCCAACAATTACCGTCTTCCAAATCCTCGCTTTATCCACACATCAACAAACCCATCACCTCTATGACTATTTTCGCAATTAATTAAACATTCAAAAAATTGAAAATGTAAAAAGCAAGATTCATCCATCTAAATCCGAAACAAATCCTAACGATCATCTAGACAGTCGTAAACAAACAAATTACTATCGGGGAAAAAGAAATAACCCGACGGCTAGGGTTTTTACCGATGATTGTGGCGGATCTGGGGTTTTTGTTGCGCCCAGATTGCAGATTGCAGAAGGAAAAGACGAAGAGAGCGTGAATGTGACCGCACTTGGATTAGATAATGGGTGGAAGAAGGGAGATGAATATGAAGTAGGAGTATTATGTGTTACATGAATGAACGAAGGTTTCACTTAAAATCCACCACGATCAAATTATAATTTATATTTAATAATTAATTCTTAAATAAAAAAATTATCTCACACATTTCAATATTGTAAAAATCCACAACAAGATATTCAAAAACCACGTGTTTATCTCACCTCAATCACCACTGCTGCGTGTCTCGCGCATCTTACCCTTCCAAAATCGAATCTTGTGTTAATTTTGTTAATTTAATTAAATTACTACATAAAAGATATAAGTATTTTTTTAATCTATGTGATAAATTGTTTTAATCTTTTATAATCAAGTTAGTTTCTCTTATAAATATTTGATTATCCAACTATCATTGAAACTTCCGTTTATTTATCAATTACAAATTGCTTATCTACCGTTTGTTTATAAGTTTAAATATTTTTGTTTTTTAAAATATTTTTTAGTTTTTTAAAATATTTTTCAGTTTTTAAAAAATAAGAAATTTGTTTAGTATTTATTTTTTTAAAATTATTTGTAGAAATTATTTTTGTTTTCTAATTTTTAAAAATAAAAAATATTTTAATTTTACTTTCTCTCCTAATTATATTAGATAATTCATCTTCAGGTTATTACTCATTTTTTTATTTTTGTCGTAATTAATCTTGCCCTCTTGCCTATAGATGAGATTTTAAATTATAAGTAAGTTTCTTTCTAATTTTTAAAAAATTAAATTAAATCAAAACATACTTACTAACTTAGTATTTTTTTTAGGTTTTGTATCATTAAAAATACTACTATATTATCTCTTTTTAAAATATTAATTCTTACAAGGCCTAAACAACAATTTTTTTTTAAGTTGTATAAGAAATTAATTTTACGTTTGAAATATAATAAATTCATTTAGCTTAAATAAAAAATTAAAGAACTAAAAATACATTTAAGTTTAAAATTTTTTTACATAAAAAAATACTCTAAACTTTTATGTAATTCTGTTTAACATTTATCTAGAATAAATTTTTTTTATAATTATTGTACCAAATAATAAGTTTATCATAATATAGTATGATGGAATGAATGAAAATTTTCAACATTTAATGCATCTAAAATTAATTTAGCAGAAAAAAAAAAAACTCATTATCTTCGCTATAAAAACTACTAGTGGAAAGACATGCATACATGTGTGTTTGTATATTTGTTCTTATATTTTATATTTAATTAAATTAAATTTTAATATATATATATATATATATATATATATATATAATTTTCAAAATATAAATGTTTGTTTTCATTATAAAAATATATATTACTAGAGACAAATAGGGTTTATAAATGATATATTAAACAATCATACGATTAAAATAATTTCCTCATTATAAATATATACATACATACATATATATATATATATATATATATATATATATATATATATAATTTATATATAACAAGAATATTTTGAAAAAATATTCTTCGAGTATTTTGTAGATATGTTCCTTGACCACATATTTCTTTAAAATGATATACTTTATCCTTATTTCTTAATTGAATGTTGATTTTATTTAAAAATTATGAATAATTAAAGATAACTTATATCATATAAAAAATATTTATCAGAAATTTACCATATAAAGTGTAGATTATAAATGCTTATTTATTATTAATTTAATTATAAGAGAATATATATTTAAAAATATATTTATTATAATTTTTAATGTTATAAAATAACAGTTGAGCTAAAATGGAACAATCACGCTAAGTCAACATTTGTCTTAAATGAATTATATATGTTTTCTTTCAAAGTTTAAATGTTTTTCTTAAAAATAAAAACTTTTTTTTTCTTAAAATTAAAAACTTTCCACGTAACACAACGTAGTTTAAGGGTTTTTTAAACAGTTAAATATATCTATCACTTATAGAAATAAACATTACTACAATTCTTCATTCTCAAGATGAAAGCATCATGTGTTACTGGGTGCAACAAATAATTAATAATAACAAAATTTGCAAATGCTAACCGTGCTTTACGAGCGATGATGGTTAAGGAATTAAAAGAAGAAACTTTTGAAAATTCCTCTTTTAATTTGATCAGTAGGCTAAGAGTATGGTACGAAATTTTGAAAACAAAATATATTTTTTTTTACAAAAAACAAGAATAGTGACTACCCATTAATATTTAGGATTTAAATTGATGAACACATCAACTAAATTTATAATTTCACAGAAATTCGTGGGCATACACCAACAATAAAGGTAGGTAATTATTAGGCGTGTAATGGCTAGATTAATGGGGGTGTTATTGTGAATGAAACCCACGTAGTTTTGGGTTTTTAAATGCATTAATGTGAGGTGGGGCACAAGGGCAATCCGAAAGACAATAAGAGGTTTAGGGTATCCAAAACGTGACACTCCAATTCTTCCACAAACAACTTACAAAAGGGACTCTACCAATTTCCAATCCTAGTAGAAAAAACACACAAGCCACTCTCTCTATTTGCAAGACTTGTCAGAGGCCCCAGCTACGTAGTACGTTGTTTTGTTCTCAATTTCTCAGGTAGCATCTTCTTCTTCCTTTTGCTTTTTTTTTTTTTTTTTCAACATGATCAAATTTTTTGTTGAGTTGTAAAATCCTGCAATTGACTAAGTCAATGGTGTTGGTAGAGAAAAATATGCACAATCGTGGATTATATACTGTTTTCTTTCTGTTTTACTAAAACCATAAAGAGAATCATCAGTGTGTATATGTGTGTGAGAGAGATTATTTTCTTGGCTGCTAAGCTACCCAATCTTTAATCTGACCTGGTCGTTATATCAATTTTGGATTCATCAGGTGTGTGGTATTGGATTGTAATTTGTACCCTTTGGTGTCATTTTCCGTAATCTCTATATATCTGGGGCAAGTGATCGCATTCTCTCTCCGTTAATCACACGAAAAATCCGTTTTTGGCTCAATGGAAGAAGACCAAGAGGCTCAGCAGCAAAGAGAAAATCAAGGGTCTGTTCCTGGGGAAGGAGAAGGATTAGAAGGTAATGGAGGAGGCGTTAACAACAAAGAGATTAGTCCTTTCACGTGCCAAATGTGCAACAAAGGTTTCAGCTCAGGTAAAGCTCTTGGTGGGCACATGAGAATCCACAACATCTCTGGAAAGCAGGTTCATAAGGAGAAACAAGGCACTAGTGATGTTGCAAAATCCAAGACAACGAAATGGGATTTAGTGGATGGCAACCCCACCTGTACCCTTTGTGGAAAGAGCTTCTCTTCCATGAAGTCCTTGTTTGGGCACATGAGGTCTCACACTGAGAAGCCGAAGAGGGGAAATCAAAGCTACGCGCCGATCATTGGTGCATCCGCCAATTCCACTTCTTCCTCAACCCTTTCCGATGATTCGGCTGTTGATCTCTCTCGAGCTCTCAGGGGTTGGTCTGTGACTGCCAAGAGAGGCCGCAAAAGCCCTTCTTGCAGCAAATCAAATTCTGGTTTGGAAGATGATGATTATGAGATTGAGCCACGTATGCAAGAGGCCGCGAATCACCTCTTGTTGCTGGCCACTGGGCGTCCCAAGTGGGAGCAAGAGGTTGGTGCTGATCAGATTCAAGAACAGACATTGATCAAGATGGGGTATAAAGAGGAGTTGTTAAACCCAGTTTTGGGGAACTCTGATGAAATGAAGATCAAGAAGAGAAATAGAAAGAAAATGAAATTAACAGAATTAGCATCAGCTGAGGGGGGAAACAGGTTGGCTGCTAGATGCAGAAAATGCAACACAACCTTCAAAAGTCATCAAGCTTTGGAGGGTCATCTATGCAGCCATCAAAATTCTAAGAAAATTCAATCCAAGTCAGATGGTGTGTCAGCCACAAAAGTGGAGCGTCGTATCAAACCAACCATGCAAGGGGAGGAAACGGGAACTGCTCTCGAGGGTAGTGCTGTGGAAGCCATGAGAGGGTCTGACTGTAAAGTTCTCAACGAGACTTTCTCAACTGGTCAAGCCTTTGGGGACCACAAGAGATCTGACTGGACCAGCATGGCAGAAGCTCGGTCAGCTCAAGCAACATCATCACACGTGGAAAATGGTCAGAATTGTTCCAAGGTTTTGTGTTTTGATCTTAATCAGATTCCTGCTACGGATGAGGAAGAGGGTGTTCAATCAGACTTGTTTATTCCTGCCAATATTATGACATCATCCAGTTATGATTCCTCTTCCTAAAAAAACTCTGTTGTTACAAATAGTGAGTTAGAATTTGATCTTTGACCATTATAGGGCATGCATTCTATTAGCAAGGATAAGTACTCTTCACAAATGGTTAAGCATTGTTAACAATTAGTTGTCTTTAGCATTAGCTTCCTCCGGTGAGACACCATGAGGAACTATCTTAGCTGTTTCCTATGTTTTTGGTGGGTCATGGACTCTTGTCTTTTCTGTATTTTCTTCTTCATGATGTGTCCTGCAAGCCTAGCTTGCTGGGAGAAGGAAGGATCCGAAAGGGCATTGTGGGGCTTTCATTGTTACCCTTTTCTGCATAAATGCAATTGGACAGAATGGATATTTCGGATCTTTTTATTAAATATAATTTGATCCTTCGTCTCCTCTGTTAAGGTGACTAATAAAAGTTTTACTTTTTAATGTTGAGATTCTGTGGTAGTCACAATTTCTTCTCAATAGAATGGCTTTAATTTTCTCTCTTTTGAATGGTACACTTAATGAATAAAAATTGAGGTGAAAATATATAAATAAATAATGAAAGTTTACATTGACATTAAAAATGAGTAAAGATTATTGCGATGGAGAAGTTATTTTTTAATTATTAAATTTAATTCTAGCAATCAGAATTTAATATTTTTAAGAATAAAATATATTTTTTTTATAACTTAAGGGGACTGCTATGTTATATCTTTAGAAACAGTTTTTTTAATTTTTTAAAAGCTATAATATTTGTTTCATACTTGTTTAAAAAAGGTTTTAACTTTTAATTAATCATAATATTTGTTTTTTTATTGCTTTTAAAAATATTTTTATTTTTTTAGTTTTTGAAAACTAAAAAATAAAAAAAATAGTTAGTTTTCTGTTTTTTCTTATATATATATATATATATATATATATATATATATATATATATATATATATACTTACATTTTATTTGACTTAGTTTTATAATTTAAGTCTTGACTATTTGATTTTACCTGTAAAAATGATATTTTGTTTATTTAATCCATTTTTATTTTACATAAAATAAGTGAGTTTTAATTTTGGTTTACGAACAAATAACTTTATCTTCTATTTATCTGAGATATTTTTATTGTTCAAATTATTGTTTTCATATTTTATAAAATAAATAGTTGTTATTTTTATTCTTTTTACTCTATCATTTCAAAAATTGTTTTTATTTTATTTCAATATTCATTTTAAAATAGATTTCCTTTTGTCATTTTGAACAAATTTTAGATATTTCACAAACATAAGAAAAAAAGTATTAATTAAGAGGGTTACTTAAATATAAAACTATTACAAAATGTAACTATTATTTTTTATGACTTACAAAAAGTTTAACTTCTTTAAATAATTTTGCCGCACTTAATTAATTATTTTATGTTTTCTCTTCTTTTTTTCCTCTTATCGTGCTTTTCTATTTTTTTATTATTTTCTTTTCTCTTCTTTTACTTACTCTTATAAAAGTATTTTTTTAATTAATATTAAAATCAAAAGAGATATCAAATCATTATTTAAAATTATAATAATAGTAAATAATTTATATAAGATAATAATAAATATTTAATTTAAAAATATTTTATCATAATAAATAAATTATGTATTTAACTAAAATTAAAATATAATATTTTAATTTAAAGAATAAAATAGATTAGAAAAAAATAAAAAGATAATAAAAAAACAACATAAGACAATAAAAAAATTAAGAATAATATAATAAGTAATGAAAGAGAAATAATTACTTTATATAGTAAACAATAAACAAGTTTAATTAAATAAATAAATTAATTGACATGTTATTTAAATATTTATGAGATTGATGACATAACCAAAATTTACGATAAATCAACACAAGGTAAATTCAAACAATCCAAACATGTCAATAAAGAAATAAATAATAATCTGATATAGTCTATAACATTATCAAACAAAACTAATAATTTTATTTTCATAATAATGATTTTATATAAGAATATTAGAAAAATATGAAATTATACAAAAAATATTATTTCTTGCAGGTAAGTGTTCAAGTGTTTTTTTTTTTAAATTTAACTTTGATCAAGTTCTCAAAAATAGAATTTAGAAATTGAAAAAAAAATTAACATTAAAATTGAATTCACCTTTTACACTTTGACAATAAGTATATAAAAAATAATACTTTGATAATAAGCCCAAGATCATTGGGATATTAACTAACTTATTATATTGTATGCATGAAAAATACGTTATTATTTAAATATTGTTTAACTTATTATAACTTATCGCTTATATAATTCTTTTTCTACAAACTTGTATTTTTATTTTATTTTTTTACTTTGATACTTTAGCATTTGTTGTTTATATTTTGTTATTTTAGTGACTGAAATCAAATTTAGTCATGTGATAGTTTATTTTTGTATATCATTAAAAAATTGATACAAAAATAATTGTGATTCCTTAATTAAATGTCAATAAAATTTTTTTAATATAATCCTAAAAACGTAATATTGTGGTAGAAGTTTGTTTTATTGAAGAAATTTTAAATTAAAATATAACAATAACTTTTATGATATTATAAAAAATTTGTATTTCAAGCTAACTTTATAGCCACTGCAATGTTACAAGAAAAACTTAAAACATAATTTCATAAAATAAATTTATTTAATGCAAGATTATTAAGTTATAATTAATATAAATATAGTATAATAAAAATGTTAAAATTATCTTTTATTTATTATTAATAATAATAAATCAATGTTATTTATATTTTTTTTAATATATATATATATATATATATTATGTTTTATTAAATATAATTTCACCTTCATTTATTATGTGCTACGAAATAGAGGATATTTATAATATTCTATGATCCACAAGGAATTTAATTTAATTTGAGTGTCACAGATTTATTTATTTTTATTTTCACACCAGAAAGTTTTTAATAATTTTTATTTTAATCATAAGATATGAAAAAAAAACTTTAAAATTATTGAATAACAAAATAATATAAAAAACAACAAAACCATCATAATATTTTTAAAATAAATTTTAAATATTAATAAAGTTATTCGTTAGTGATTGTACTTCTTTATAAAAGTATAAGTTTATATTATATATAGGAACCTGAATTTCGTTGAATCTCCCACAAAAATGTTTTAATATACTTAATTATTTATTAATTATAAGAAAATTTTAGATTTAAATTTATTTCTTAACTATAGAATGATTGTAATTTTTTAAATATTTAAATTAAATTTTATATGTATATTAGTGATAATATTGTAGATTGTTCATTTCAGTACTATTTAACTATAAATTATAATACATGTTATTTTAATAGATATAATAGTATTTATTGATAAAAATTAAGTAATATAATTTAATAGACTAAATTTTTTTAATTTTATAAGATTAAAAAAATAAATCTAAAATATATTTTTATATATATTTCACACGTACAAAATTACTTATAATATAAAACGAATTTAAGTCTTAATATTTATGAAATTTTAAAATATATTTATATATTAAAAAGTAAGATTCACAGTTTTGTATATATTTTAATAATTTTATATTTACTTTATTTGTTTCTTATATATTTTTTTAAACATGACATTGCCACATGAAATATGTAAGTGAAGTTAAATATGTACACATTTGTCATCTTTTTATTAGTGGTAGCCACAATTTCTTTCAACTCAAAAAAGTGACTTTAATGAACACAATTTGTGGGAAAAAATATAAATAAAGAATTAAAGTTTACATTGATATTATAAACTATTAAAAATGAGTAAAGATTATTGCAATGGAGAAGTTATTTTTTGATTCTTAAATTTTAATTCTAGCAATCAATTTTTAAAATTATATTTTTTAATAATAAAATATTTTTTTTATAACTTATGACTGTTATGTTATCTTTTTAGAAACAGTTTTTATTTTTATTTTTTAAAAGCTATAAATTTTGTTTCATACTTGTTTAAAAAAAAGGTTTTAACTTTTAATCATAATATTTGTTTTTTATTGTTTTAAAAAATATTTTTAGTTTTTTTTAACTAAAAGTAAAAAAAAAGTTAGTTTTCTGTTTATATATATATATATATATATATATATATATATATATATATATAATATCAACATCTTTATCAATAATTGTATTAATCTGTTTTTATCATTCTAAAATTTTAAAATGATTTTCAACCTTTGATGACTTTTTGTTAAAGTCAATAAAATTCTCTTTTCATTTTAAGATAATTTTTTAAACTTATTTTCAAAAATAATTTTGTAATATTGATGTTCAAAACTATTTTTAGAAACAAACATGTATATAACATCACATTTTATTAGTGAGTTTTTTAAATTTATTTTAACATACTAGTTATTAAATAATTAAAAAAAAACTAAAAAATTGTTTTTAAGTAAAAAGTAATTATCACGTGATCTTCTTTACGCAAAGCATAGCACTTTACAAATGTTTTCTGTTTAGAGAATACGAATTAGAACATAAAATTTAAAAAATAAAAACAAAAAATTCACATGTATGACAACTTTTAATACAAACAAATATTTTAGATTTAAAATATTATCTTACTAAAAAAAATAATTATGAATAAAAAATATTGTGTTTAATAAATCATCTTGTTTAAGTTATATGAAAAGTTTAGGTTTAGGTCTAGGTTTATTAACAATAAGAAAAAATAAACATTTGTAAAAAAGATTTTTATCAAATATAAATATCCATCGACTTTGTTAGGATGGTTAATTGAACAGAAAACTCTTACAAATGCCTGTTTGTAACTTAGTAAAGATTTTTTCTTTTTTTACAACTTAGTAAAAGTTTTACTTCTTTAAATAATTTTACCATACTTAATAAAGTATTAATTATAAATAAGTTTTAGGTATACATTTTTTTTAAGTATAAAATGACTAATTGTTTAATTTTATTTAAAAATTTTAAATTATTATAAAATGAATGAATATCTAATCAAAAAACTTTTTTTTATTACTTCAAAATATGAAATCTCTATTTTTGAACTTCAATATTCATTTGAAAATAGAATAATAAATTTTTTTAGAATATTAAACTTTGAATTATTATAAAATGTCTCTGTATATACACACACACACACACACATATATATATATATATATATATATATATATATATATATATATATATATATATATATATTAATATATTTTTAATAATTTTCAAAAATATAAAAATCCAATGAAATAATACATTTTTAAATTCATTTACTCAATTATATATAATAAATTTTATTTACCTTTTACTTATTATTTTATTATTTTTCTCTCTTTTTTTTTCTTCCTTCATCCATTTATTGTTTCTCTATTTTCCTTTTTATTATCTTTCTTATTCCCTCTTCCTTCCATTTCTTTTCTAAAAGTTTACTTTTTTTTTTTAAAATTAACATTGAAATCAAAAGTTTTTTAAATTAATTTTGAGATATCAATTAATTATTTAAAAATATGATGACGATAAATAATTTATATAAAACAATAATAAAAAATTAATTTAAAATTATGTAATTTAAATAAATAAATTATTTATTTAACTAAAATTTGAATATAATACTTTAATTTGAATAATAAGATAGAATATAAGAAGAGTGAATAAGAGAAGAACATGAACGAGACAATAAAAAAATTAAGATGAGATCAAAATAATATAATGAATGATAAAAGAGAAAAATAAATATTTTATATTAAATAAATATATTAATTAAAATTTTATTTAAATATATTTTATTTTAAATATTTAAGAGATCGAATACATAACCAAATTTTTACGATAACTCAAGTCAAGGTAAATTCAAACAATGAAAGCATGTCCCCAAAATAAAAATAAAAATATGATATAGGCTATATAACATTATCAAACAAAAGTAGTCATCTTATTTTTCATAATAACGATTTTATATAAGAAAATGAGAAAAATCTGAAATTATAAAAAAAAAATTATTTCATGCCGGTCAGTGTTTAAGTGTTTTTTTTTTTTTAATTTAACTTTTATAAAGTTTTGAAAAAATAGAATTTAAAATTAAAAAAAAAATTAACATTAAAATTGAATTCACCTTTTACACTCTGACAATAAGTGTATAAAAAATAATACTTTGATAATAAGCACAAGGTCATTGTGATATTAGTTAACTTATTATACGCATGAAAAATATATTATATTTTAAATATTGTTTAACTTATTATAACTTATCGCTTATATAATTTTTTTCTACAATTTTTTTTTACTTTGAAACTTAGCTTTGTTATTTTAGTGACTGAAATAAAATTTATTTGTGATAGTTTATTTTTGTATATCATTAAAAAATTGATAAAAAATAATTATGATTCCATAATTAAATGTCGATAACATTGTTTTAATGTAATCCTAACAACTAAAAAATGTTATATGGTAGTAGAAGTTTATTTTATTGAAGGAATTTTAAATAAAAATATTTAAATAATATATATATATATATATATTCTTTTATTAAATATAATTTTACCCGTCATTTATATGATTAAGGTGACTTATAAAAGTATTAAGTTTTTGTTATATAGGAGCCAGAATTTCGTTCAATCTTGAAAAAAATATTTTAATATGCTTAATTATTTATTATTTATCAGTAAATTTTAGATTTAAATTTATTTTTTAACTACAAAATGATTGTATTTTTTAGATATTTAAATTAAAATTTCTATGTATATTAGTGACAATATTGTAGATTATTCATTGCAGTACTATTTAACAATAAAATATAATACATGTTATTTTAATTGATATAATAATATTTACTGATAACAATTAAATAATGTAAAATAAATGAGGAAAACAAATATTAGATCAGATAAATTTATTTTCACTTATTAAATTTATATATAAATAATAAATAAATCTAATTGAATAAATAATTTAAAGAGATTTTATTTAAATAATTTTATTTTTTTAATTATATTATTTATGATATTTATATATATATATATAACGAATTTAAATTTGAATATTTATAAATTTTTTAAAATATATTTATATATTAAAAAAAAGTAAGATTCACAGTTTTGTATAATTTTTATTTAATTTTTTTTCTTATATATATCTATTTTTTTAAACATGACATAAAGACATTACCACATATGAAATCATTATATTTCAATAAAATGTACTCTCACAGTTCAATCATCATTTACTATCAACGTCATAATAATAATAATAAAAAAAACTAAAAGTTATGACAACCTAATCAAAACTCTTTAAATCAACCAAATCTAGAATCATGGCATCTAACACATGTTTCTATTTTTTTTAATGAAAAAATATTATCAAGACAAGGGAAAATATGACTTTTTTATATACAAAATTAACTATTCTATTTTCACAATAATTATCTCATCTAAAAAGTATGAGAAAAATTTGAAATTAATTAAAAAAAACATTTTTCAAGAAAGTCAATTTACAGGTTATTTGTTTTAATTTAAAATTCAAAAGAATATTTAACATCCTTCAATTTTCAATTTCAAACTCAATTGGTTTTCAATTAACATCCTTAAATGGCGTAAACCTTAATTATAAACTTTAGAAAGTCAAATTTACATTTTATAATATAACATAATTATTATACATTTACGACTATATAAAAATATTAAATTTACATCTTAAACTATATTTTATTATTATTCTTTTATTCTAATGATTAAAATAAATATTATTTTAAATTATTAAATTAATAAACTAAGTAATAAAAATATAATTATTAATGATTTAACTATATATATACTTCTCGTACAATAATTTTTTATTTGATTGTTTGCTTTTACATATTTACTATTTATGCAGATATATGAGTGAGTATTTACTATGGTATCACCTTGTTTGTATTTATAAATTTGGATAGATTTGCTTTGATTTAGGTATGAAACTCACACAGTAGAAAACCCTCCCAGTAGAGTGAAGAAAGACATGTATTTGTAGCAAAACTGAGATAAAATGACATAAATAATCTAATGGAAACTATGACTTACGTGAATTAAAATTGCATATATTCCCTTTACATGAGTAATGATACAGTTACGTCCAATGCAATGTGACTCAACCTAGAGTGATGGAGATACCTATGATCAACCTTTTCTAGAGATTTTTAGTCCTCATTAACTATTCCTTGACCATGCGCAATGCACCGTGGGAGATGCAACTGTTCCAACGGTTAACCTCTTGATGAAACTCTATAAATGACACTCTCATGAATACACAAACACACTTTCTTTTCTTCCCTGAAAACATCCTCCATTCCTTGAAAAAATCATCTACTGCCAAATGGCAAGTCACCCCATTAGGTTCTATGACTTGATGGAAGAGTTACAGGGAGTTGACTTGCGACTGAGCACATGATCAGGACTGCACGACAAGTTCGTCAGCGTCACAGTTTCACAGTAAATTTGGGAGTTGATACAAATGAAGAAGTTAATCCCTTCCTCCACTGTCTCATTCACTGAGATGCAACCCAATCCACCGCGAGCTGACTCGTACAGTTGGGCGTCTGTCCATTTGTCCCATCTGCCCCTTCCAAGGTTACATTTTCATCTAGAGGCTCAAAGAGGGAAAGCCCACATGATTGATGTTGATCTTAATTCTCAATTTGAAGTCATGAACACAGGGATTCACGTAATGGTGAATAGGATGTGAGAGAGCAACAAATATTCAACCAGGCTAACGAACTTGGTGGAGCGGCAGGTTGTCATGGAGGCTCATTCTGCTGACATGCACCGACAAACAGACTTATACATCAAATATATGACAAATGTTATGTGAACTTAATCTTTTGGACGATCAACTTCAGTTGTAGTGCTATGAGTTCATCTGCAGAAATCCCAATGTACCATGTTTTGTAGTTAATTTTACATTCAGGTATTTGTAATGGATAATTATTTGAACCTTATGTTATTTCTATATTGGTAATCTATTAAACTTAAAGAATTGTGTGTATGACTAATTATAATATTTTTGTTTGATTTTTTTACTTTGCTTACTCTAAAGAATCAATACATGAGGTTGTTGCTCTATGTTTCTTGTTTACAATTGTATTGCATTTTTGTCCTTGTTATTCTCATTCTTTAATTTCTACTTAATTTATCAATTTTACTTCACAAGGGTAATTTGATCATTATACTAAAAATATTATTAATTAATTATTTTATATTCAATGACATAAGTTACAATAAATTTACTTAAATCCCTTCAACTCCCTCAAGTTCACCTCCTCAAATCTCCACCCCAGACCAAACATAAGTGTTAAACACTATGGTTAAAGATAAATTCTTACCATTTATTAGATCTAAATTTTCACACATTTAAATATAAGTAATATAAATCTCATTAAACTCTCACAATTTGATAATTTTATCAATATAATTTTAGTAATGAGTAGAATCAAGATATTTATTATTGAATATCAAATTCAATATCTTAATATATCATGTTAATATATTAGAGAATATCTTATTAAGGTTTCTTTTATTATAACACCATCATCCCAGTTGAACAACGTAATTCGTACCATTTCACGAATCTTATGCAAATCATACATTTCAATATAAACATAAATACTTAAAAATTCAATTCACAAAATTTCAAACAATAATAAATATTTAAATATAATAATATGTTGAAATATAATAATTAAATGGAATACAACCAAATTTAATATTAAAATTTATTTAAAAAATGTTATCTAAGTAAAAAAATAAAATAAAATTTCTTTTTACTCAACCAATTAGACACTTGCCAAATTTACTTAAGTACGGACTTTGCTCACTCAAGACAATGGCCTATTGACTAAATCTTATAATTTCATTGAACAAATTTCATTTAGTAATGAAACCTTTTAAATTTTTCTTAAAATGAATTTTGTGCAGAGGGAATAAATCATTATCCAACAAGTAAACATATTGGATTTTCATTAGATATAATTTCATTTGGTCAATAAAAAATTGATTTTCCAACTTATAAAAACATATTTAGATATTATAAGGTAGTATAAATAATAAAATTACCTTTCGTTATCTCAATCATAATACTTTTAACCTAAAAATTCCTAAAACTTTTAAGTTTTGAAGAAATCAAATCTTATCCAAAAAAAACCACAAAAATGTTAAACCAACAAATTGAACATGTCCCACTATATTCTTAGTCCCACATGAATCCTAATTCCCGACCACATCTTACAAGTTACTTAAAAAAACATTTTAATATTTATTAAACTTTATAAATAATATTTGTTTAAAAAAATAGTTTAGGCTAAATGTAAAAAAAGAGAGTGTAATTTAATAAAAATACTATGATCAATTTGTTAATTAATAAGATAATTATATAAAAATAATATTAAAAATAGTTACTATATTATTTTTATATTAGGGGTTGACAAGACAAACTATAAATTTTATTATTAGGAAGAAATTACTCATAAAAAAGAGAGAGTTATAGAATAGGTTAGTGAAATTAAATATTTCATTATTATTGCTTGTATAGTACATAATATATACACATTTGTCAATTTTTTTATTAATTGAGTGAGTGAACTTTGCTTGGATTTATTTGAAAATTTCCCAAACTAGCGAGTAAAACTGGTAGTCCTAATTCAATTTGCAAAACCAGACATTCTAAAAGGTTTTATGTTTTAATTTTGTTTTTATTTATTTATTTCATTCTATTTTATTCATTTTTTTCTGAATTTTTTTATAATATTTCAGCATTTTGAAAAAAAAATATTTCCAAAATATCAAGTGTACATCTAAAATATTTATTTTTATTTATTTTTTATTTCATTCTATTTTATTCATTTTTCTGAATTTTGTTATAATATTTCAACATAAAAAAAAAAAAATTTCCAACATATCAAGTGTAGATCTAAAATATTTGTTCCAAAATTAATCGCAAAATATTACTTCGTTATTTGTTCCAAAATTTAACCTCAAAATATTACCTCATGCAATAATATTTTGTACGCATTAAAATTCAGCAATTAAATTAATTCTTTTACTGAGTATACTTAATTTAAAAATATTTATAAAATTGTACCTTTATTTGATACTAAATTAAACGAATTTAATAAATATTTCATTAAAATACTAATAAATGTTAATTATAAATGTCCAATTTATCTATAAATTGGTAATATTATTTTTTACAATTTGAATATTAAATTATATATTCAAAATTTTAAGTTAAAGTTCTTTATTTCTCATTATATTTAGCTTTCTCACAAATTTCGATAATTGTTTTTGTTTAAATATATATATATATATATATATATATATATATATTATAGATGGTAAAAGATACAACCTTTTTTAAAGAAAAGTTCTCAATTTCTTTAACATTGTTACAAAATATGTATGTAATTTTATGAAAATAATAATAAAATTAATAAACTCCTCTCCCTTAAATATTAATAATCCATTTATTTTAAATTATAGCAAAACATATTAAGTCTAATGAGTAGATTTGTATTCAATTTAGCAAAGTAAGTTGGTAATTTCAACTTCTCTCGTGTTTTAATATTTAAAATTTGATTTATTAAAATAAAAAATGCATAAAAAATATTTTTTTATTTTAAAAAAATATAAATATATAATCATATCATAATGTAAATTATTGCACTTTTATTTTTTAATAGATGATAGATTTTTTTCATTATTTAAATTTCCAATTTGAAGGTGAGTATGAAAGCTATGTAAATTCCTTGTTAACTCCTATTTTGAGTTTTGTGTTATTTTCTTAACATTTTTATTACAATATTAATTTAGCAGCATCATTCACTAACACAAAATAACATTTGCTTTATTGAATACATGGTTTGATTATTTTTTGACTCTAAAACATATCATATTTGTGAAACTCGAATTTCACCAAGAAGTTGATATTGATATTTGAAGATGAGTAAAGTTGATAAAGTTTTCCTACAATTCATGGATAGATGTACGGTATTTAGTGGTGTGGGACCATCTCTCACCCACCCAACTGCTGTCAATAACTTGATGTAACATCAACTGAAATAGAAACCACAGCAATAGCAAGAACATGTTGCAAGAGATATTTTTTATTGGTGATTAATAAAGTAAAATGATGACAAAGTATGTTAGAGTCAACACCCAAAAGCATTATTCCATTTATTTGGCTCTACTGGTTGAGGAGTGAAGGAAACGGTAAGAAGCCAATTCGTTTGTCATAAAATTGGAGTTTGGAGAAGGAAAAAGTAAGAAAGACTATGATGATGATGTTATAGGTAGTGCCAACATTGGCATGGGATAGATTAGCTTCTAAGACAAGGAAAATCAATAAAATGGAGTAGGAGAGAGCTTAGTTAAGCTTTTTCTTTCTTTTTCCTTTCGCAAGATTGGTGCTATTTTCTTGACTGCCTCCTCTTCTTCCTTCCTTAAGCTGCGACATTTCTCTTCGGTACTGCTTGATATTGGCACATGTTACATGCAATGCATATCCTTGTGTTACTTGAAGCAAACATTTTTTACTCATTATATTAAGGTTTGTACAAAAATCAGCAATAGTTGAGTTGAGGAGCTGAGAAAACTCTTCTTACCATGAGAACCCTCCGTGTGCTGCTCTTTCTGGGACTCTTGTGGGCTGAAATTCATGTCATTTCTTCAGACACTGAAACTCAAGACGGTAGTGTGCCTTGCCATCCCTTTTCTTGGTCAAATATTTCCATTTTGCCCCTTTGGCTCATCATCTTCTATGCATAGCTCATCATCTTGGTCAAGTATTAAACTGTTTTTTTTATTACCAAATCTAGACATGATCTATTATAGTATATAACCCTTAGTAAGCCTATACATGGTCCCCTTTTCTCCTTACTTGAATCATCTTATATTCAGTAGTTACATATTTCTCATGATCTGATTTGAACCTAATATGATCCTAACTATGTTTTGAAGCAAGAATGTTTTATGTATAAAATGGGGAGAATGTTTGTTTTTATTAGATAATAACAGGCTTTTACCTAGGAACTTGTGCATATGTTATTATTCTGGACCATGAAAAAGGCAGCATTATGTGAACAAAATGCTTATCAACCAACCATCTACTGGTTGGGGGTAAATTGTTATTCACCAAGAGTGATTAGTTCATCTTGTAAAGAAAACAAAGTCATAAGGGGATAGATTGATTCCACTTCTAGCTCATAGAACTCTTTTGGTTGGTCAACATTATAATATAGCTCATCCTCATGCAAATCAAAGGGAACCTTATGAAATTGGTAATTACCATCTTGCACTTTGTTTAATGATCATGCACTTTTGCAGTTGTTGCACTTAGATCATTAAAAGATGTATGGCAAAATACACCGCCCAGCTGGGACAAATCAGATGACCCCTGTGGAGCACCTTGGGAAGGAGTGACCTGCAACAAATCAAGGGTTACTTCATTGTAATAATTCAGCAATTTAACGTTTTTTATTATTTTGTTCCTTAGTATGTTGCTTCCATCACCCTTTTAATCACTTCTTCTTTTGGTAATTTAAGAAAAGTACTTTGTCGTGTGCATTTTGAATATAGGGGACTGTCAACCATGGGCCTGAAGGGGAAATTAAGTGGAGATATTGGTCAACTTACAGAATTGAGATCCTTGTAAGTGTGATTTTCTGTTTCTATTTTTAATGAAGCTATGACCAGGATTACGAGTAATCTAACTTGTCTCAAGGACACAATCTCTAAAGCAGATTTCCACTACAACATTGACTTAACTTTTGTCATAGAAAAGGTGAAACAATTTTTCATAGCAATTTTTGTGCTAATTAACGTTGACAATTATTTAAATGCAGGGATTTGTCATTTAATAGAGATTTAACAGGTCCTCTCTCTACAGAGTTAGGAAAGCT